ACCAATTTAAGCGTTAACTATTCACTCTTTCGTTTAAATAACCATTAATTTATACTAACTAGTCCGAGTCCTTTACTTCAATTCTTTTTTGAATACTTTAGTTGAATGCATTTAATCGAGCAGACTTTAATTGATTAATTTAAGCAAACTATCTGTGGTTTTCATGGTGTCTGCCAGGCTTTAGATTGTTTCTCTTTCGATTTTAAAGTTTTTTAACTGTAAAGTATTAATATTTAACGTAAATTTATGACTCTAGTCTAAGATTTCCGATTTGCGTCTCAGTTTGAAACTATACGTTGTTGAGCATCGGTTGAAAAATTGATCTCAAAGAATGAAATGTCTGTTCGTTTAAAAAAAATCCAGTAATTAATTTAACTCTGCTTTAAAATTCACTTTGGCATTATTATCAAAGTTGCACCTACATCCAGTGTTCGACCTTATGTTTTCATTGGATGAGTACCTATTTTCAAATATTTTTTTTCGGCAATTTTCCATCTTGTTAACAGAAATTAGCCAAACATAAAGTCTGCTACAATCTTTTTCATTTGCAACTTACACAATGGGTTTGAAATGCTACTCGAAACGTTTACCCACCTGAATAGCACAACATCCTTTAAAGAGATTTCCTCGTTTCTGTATAGTATTCGGAAAGGTTTGCATGCTCCATAATTCCCGAGAACAACTGCAGATCCTAAACCAGTTGTAACTTCCGGTGTGGCCACTTCAACTTCTGCACCCAATTTAGCTGAGACTCGCAAAGAACAGCGAATTTGATATATTCTGGATACAAAAAAATCGTTGCAGTTTACGGTTGAAGGCGCACAAGTGCTTGCGAATTTTGAACACAAAAAGCGGTTTTGTATTAATCTTTTGTTGCACTTTAGCTTAATTCAGATTATTATTTGGTTTGTAACTTTCAGAGAATAGTTTCACTTTCTATATTTTTTGGCCTTTGATGTATGCTTTGCTTACCCTCTTTGAAAAAGGTCGACATTATAGAATTTGTACAGCTCAACAGAAAACTCTATGGTTGACTGCAGCTCACTCATAATATTCAACAATCTCCAGCTACATCCCTGAAATAAAAATAAAAATATACAAGTTGATGTTACTGTCTGTTTCTGATGTTAAGGATTCGATTACTTATAGCAACAAGAAGCCTCTTTGTACAGAAACAAAGCAACGGACACCGGACAAACAAATAGATTGAAACCTTTAGATAAGAAAAAATAGAAAAATGTATGAATCCAAACAGAAAATCATTTTCTATCAACATATTTCCAATCTGCGTCCCAGTTTCAATATTGCCAATATTGGAGTGGTGAAACTCCTCCAAACTATAAAAGGCATTTTAGTATAAAAATGTCCTCAGAACTATCTTTGATAGTCGATTCTCTGGACTGCAGCCCAGCTGTGGAGATATAAAATGAAATATGCTTACTGAACTGTTTAACAATTCGTATATAAGTATCCATACTATGTTTTAATCAATACGAAGGCTTTGTTGAAGACTGAGTTTATGTTAAATTTACACAGGTAGGTATATGATGGCACCTAAATTTGCTGAACTTATTGAAAGTCAAGCTTTGGTATTAATTAGTTCAAGAATAATACATTTAAGAAATGTAACTGTCCGACTTTTTAATCCTATTGATTTCGCAATAAACGACATCCAATCATCTGCATGAGTCAACCTGAAGGATAAACCTGGCAATAAAAGGCAAAATTGCATTTATATTGCAAATTATAAAACTCCTTCAAGTGCACATTTCTTTGAACTTACTAATTATCCATACAGCAGGGAAGTTGGCAAGCTATTAAGCTCTATTAATCAATCCGGTGTAATTTCAAAGAATATTCTACTGCAGTATTTTTTTCCGTTTAGCGGTTGCGACTTTATATACGAATGACCTGTTTGTTTTAAAAATCCTGCATTCGTGTTCTTAGCCATCTTTGCACCAGATAATGGGAATTTTGCATTTTGAATTGTTTGCTTTTCCAAACCGAAATGAAAATTGCCTGCATCTCTACGCGTTAAATAGCTGCTATTGTGCCCGGTTAAAACAAAGGTTGAATGCATGACACAAATTATGTTTTAATGTTCCATTAATTTGGAAACGTGTACAAATAATTTGAAATAGAATGATACATTAAGCATTATTGAACAGTTGAGACCACTAGACGTTGAGGCAAATTGGCCGGGTTATCACTCAGTTACAGCAGTAAAAGCAGCAATCTTCCATTATATATATTTTCCAGACTGGCCCTAAATCCAATAAATGGGAAAAATAACATGCTACTGTTTCTTGTCTTGATATTTATCTTAATATCGTGGAAAGGGGATTTTGCCAGTAAACCTATGATGGAGTAGGACATAGAGAATACGATAGTGCATTTAACTACACGTGCCCTATTACAAAGTATCCCGATGGATGCCGTTATTTGAGCTGAAGAGATATTTAGGAAACCTATCCAATTTGCATAGCACATAACAGTTGAAAGCCCCAATGTATCCTTAGGGAATATAATGCTCTTAATATTTGCTTTTTATAGCAAACGTATATTTTCTTTAATTAAAAAAGGCAAAATATATATCTATATTTTCAAACCCACGTCAATTTCCTTTTAATGTGAATACTCTATAGAACATTTTATAACGACCCAGTGAGCTCAACAAGAAGGAAATCTCTAAAGAAACATTTCTCAAGTTGATTTTCCACCAATTTTCCGCACTAACTAAGCTCGAAAAAGAAACGGGGTTTTTAATATTTAAAATGCTGACTGCAGGCAACCTGCTTTCTTTTATCCACAACTTTTTGAAGTCGACTTAAGCGATTTTAAAGGAAGAACCGTAGCTAGAATTTTATTAACTAGGGCAAACGGATTGTTGAAAAAAGCCATGTGAAAAATGTTAACGCTTTGATATTTGCCAAGAGAACTTTATTTCTTGGATTTAGAAATTTAGAGTTTTATTATATTTTTGTGGTGGTTTTTTAGTCGAAGAATATTGTTGATGAAAATGGGAATTTATCTGCGTATTTTTTTCAAATTCATGCTTGAAAGTCTTGCGCTGATGGTCTAAATCATCTACAAGTCGCGCAAAAACAAATTTGTCTTTTCAATGAACAGCACCTTTGAAGATGCAAGGCACAAGTGCAGAAGAAACGTTGCAATTTCTTAACAGCCTCTAACTCAATTAACTCAATAGTTTGATTAACTCAATATCTGAAAATATTTAATGGTAATTGTACTCTAAAATAATCTGCCTGAACTCATTATTTCTGTCTATATTTCCTACTTGGAAACTTTTTAGTACAGAATACTTATTGGCTTCGTGTTATTAAAGACTTCTAAATGCAAAACTTTCCTGTAATCCAGTTATCGGGTTTGCGTGGGAAAATCTGATAATTCCACACAAATACAGGGATTTCGTTTTCTTGCTCTGGCATTTTATGTGGATTAGAACTGGAGTAATAAAATGATTGAGAGAGCAAACTTTAGCCATAAAGCTACGAAGCTAAACTGTATTGGGTTCATGAGAAACCGGCTTTAGCTTGGATACATAAGGCTTCAATTAGGTGGAAAATTTACTCATGCAATGGTACAGTAATCGTAATGGTCTTGTTGGGGAAGAAAGTTTGCTTGTGATGGGAGAAATATCAATATCAAGAACATACTTGTTTAGTATTTATGTCAGAAAGGGACTTTACTTTTTGCATTATATATAAAGTGTTCTTCTAGTTTTATGAGCCTAATCTTTTTTTTTTCAAATGCAAAGCTGCAATTTTCTCCAAAATAAATGATCCATTTATTGAAAAAAAAATGCATACTAGAAAACAGTAGATGCAACTTAGTTCAAACATTATTTTTTATCAGTCAACCCATTTGCATTGATCGAAAGAAATGAAAGCTCACCGAGATTGGTCGAGAAATGTTTGAAAAAACCATGACAGAATCATATTTTCGTGTTTTATTGCGAATTTTATTGTGAGTGCATGAAACGGAATAAATTACAGAAGATTTGGAAGTCAAGATTTGCAAGTTTAGTCGAAAAACTTAGTTTAGAACGGAGACAAACTATGTGTGTAGTCTACAAGATGAAATCCTGCACATAAATCTTGGCCAGACAAGGAAATTTGACAATCAATACATTGACCTACCAGATGGCCAGACTTGATGGCGCCAAGCTTTTGTATAAATATTTTGAAGAAAAATGCTTATATTTGTTGCCGCACCTTCAATAAGTACCAGAAAGCATGCTTTACCAGGTCATGGATGAAACTCTAAAGAAAGCTCGGGAAATGCATTTGACTGAGGGGTTTTATGTGTATCATCTGTTAACAGTGTTAACTAGTTTATTTACCATGCATTTAAGTAGCTCTGAAACTATATTTCACGTAAAATAAATCACTCTGTATATAATGCGATTTCAAGTTTATTAGTGTTGTTATGTTTGCAGATTTTTATATTTATTATATACTTCTTTTGCTCATTAATTMTTTKCGGTTTTGTACTAGTTGCTASARRTTTTCTGACTTGCCGAATTAGAGGAAGGAATAGGATCTTCATTAATTACAGTTAACTAAGGTCAAGTAAGTTACATAAAATKAATAATTTWGATAAAATTTGTATTTCMAAATATTACRTTTACATCATATTTACTTAGTCCTGATAAAAATRTAACGTTTTGTACTCCTTTAATAGTATCCCGTTGACTACTCAAATAATTAAATGTTTAATTAAAAATCAAGTCACAAAATATTTTTARCGTTGACAAAAAAAAGTACGTAGAGCAATAAGTTAACATTTTTATGTTCCATTAAAGGAAATTTTAAAAGAACTTATAATTTCCTTTTAACCATCTAACCCACAYTTGCGTTTAATTGAAGAAAACATTAAAAAAAYGKRAAGAATGTGTTGAAAAATATTTGGCCTTAAATATCAATTAATATTGAGAATTTTAAACTATAAAAGTTGAAGATATTAACGTTTTAATCGACGTCAATATTTTTTGGAAAACACGAGAATCTACTTAAAAACAATAGAACCTTTTTCCTTTAGACCTTTTGAATATAAAAGCATAAATTTAAGTTAAGTAATTTAAAGCCCCGTGCATTAAATTAAGGGACGAAATAAAAAATGACTCTTCAACTCATATTTTACAGTTGGTTATGCCAAATTTTATTTTATGTACAAATCTGCTGTTATAAAGAGTATTTTGACATTATTATAAGCTGTTTTAACACATTTAGATCACTAGTGTCAATGCTTCCTTAAACTTTGAAAAAATGACCAACGAATTCAAAAATATTTCAGAGCCAGACTATAAAATTACGAATAAGATATGTAATGATATTCCAGTTCTCTAATAATGTTACACAAGGGTGTAGTAGGGAGCGATGGGGATGAAAATAGACCTCAATTATTTATAATGGCCAACATTTTTAGTTTTAAATAGTAATATAAAATTACGAGCATGAGTTTTTTACGTAAAAATGTGTTTTGTGTTAATCGAAAGAAAAACGGGTCGATTTCCAGATAAATAATTTCAAAAGCGAATGTTTATGAAATTATAATTTATATATAATTTTATGAAAAAACAATGTTTATTTGTTCAAAAAATAGGGTGTCGACCCAGTCGTCTTTCCGACCATGATATTTAGAGTATTAGAAATAATTAGTAATTAAAATAAACTTTTGGTTAACATGTTTTGCAATTCCTCTGTTATGGTTTAGCCATAAAGAGTAATACTCTTATGAGTTAAAGGTGTTCTATAATCGCTCAGTTGTGGAAGTTATTTCACCATTTTGCCTGTAATTGTATCAGTCTCTCATATTTTTTTTCATATTTTTGTTACCTTTGTTTTTCCCTCTAGTTTGGGATAGAAAGTTAGAAAATGAAAATGCCTAAACGATCAATTTATTCTACGGTTAGCTCCTTAACTTCTGTATATGCCATTTAATAGCTACTTTAAGCAAATACAAAGCATCTTTAGTTCGAAATGCGATAAAATGTCATGTTTATTTAATACATTATGTTGACTCAAACCGGATTTTCATTATTTTTACTTTGACCTACTGCCTTAGCGGGTATTGAGTTTATCCAATTTTTACTTTTACGGACGTCCCATATTGGCCCAAATAAAATTTTATGAGCACACAACGTTTTATTAACTTCAAGGGACGCAACCTAAAACGCGAAATGTAGGTACGTCCAGTGGAAATAGTGAAAATTCCTTCGGGCTTAGAATGGGAATTGCTTGTTTATCACAATGGTTACTAGTGACGTGGTTGAAGCAATAGGCTTAATATTGTTGGAATAAAAAATATGTTGAATGCAATTTTACTCAAAATTTTCAATACAATTTATATCCCGAAAAATCAAATCGATTTATTGTTAAGAACAAGTTTGCCTGCAATTGGTAGAGATGTGAACTACTATATTTATATTTCTTTCCTCTGGACAAAAAGGCTGATTGGTAGCAACAAAAACCATAAAAAACCTTAAATTACCAATAAAACATAAAATTCCTTGCACTGAAAGTTCTTTAGCCACCCCTATTATATGCTCATATATGTTTTAATGGTGCCCTCTCGAGGATTCTGTCCCTGGGACGTCCCTTTGGCCCTTAGTTACGAATCCAACTGAATATATTTAGCATTTGCTTGTGCCTCCTGAACGCAATTTTCCTTTATCCTAATTGTTTTCGTTAAAACAACAATCCATTAGGTAAAAAACTTCGATATTATTTTAGCCCATTGTTAATAACTGTTTATTTAACACAGATTTTAATGTTTTTTAGGAGATATTTTTTATGCAAATACTTGCGTTTGAATCCGCTTTGATATCATAAATTTGCTTATCTGGCATTCGGAACAAAACCGCTTGCTTTTCCTAATGAGATGTTCCTCCACTTATCTTTATTAACGCAGCAGATTTTCTCGCGACAGGTCAGGCGTCAACGAAGGGGTTAATTACCAACATCTTTTCCAAGTTTTTGTTTTTCCGCCTTTTTCTGTTCCATTCGTTCAAGATAGCAAAGTAATGAGTTGGCCAGGGAAGCGCGAGTGAGTTTGTTTGGGGAAAAGCCCTTTATAATTTGATTTTTGAAAGTTTTAATTGTTGGATGTAAAACTTGATTTGGTAATAAAATAATATATTGAATTAAAAACATTTAAATGTCAATGCATTATTGAAGTCAGTAAAATAAGTCTGATATTACTGTTTTGTTGGCAAGCGTTTGCAATATTTGTTACGTTAACGTAATTCTGGAAACTTTTCTGATGCTAAATTTCACTAAAATATTTAATCGACTGTTTCTTAGCAGCTAAATGAATATGGATGGTACTTACAAAATTGGGTATTTTATTACTTTAGCTGACTAAAAGTCAACTATTTCGACAGAAATTTACAAATTACGGATATTAACTATCCGATTCTACTTTTAAGGCGATAGGGAGAGTTAAAAACGTAATTTGTTGTCTCAGGCCTTAAGTCACAAACTCTCATAAAATGAATCTAGAAATGACCAATAATTATTAATAGTTGTTCTGAGGTATAGCACTGATCAATCGATAAAAAAACTTAGATGGAAAAAATAAATAATTATAACAAATCGTTTTGTGATAGAAAAAAAACAAGAGTCGTTTCATGGTACTTTCGATTAGTATGATTCCGTGATTGAGCTGGTAGTAATTGATTTACTGAATTCAAGCAGATCTAAAACCATTGTTTTCTTTTGCCGAACTTTTTTTTATGGATTGTGGTCATCATCAAGTCAATTGGAAGGAAACCAACAAAAGTTATTCCTACTGTAAAAATTTCAAAAAAACAATTACTGACTACATATATCATTTTTACACATTGACCAGAAGCAAGTAAGATCGCAATTTCGAAAAGTATGCTTTTCCTTTCCAGCTTTCTGGTGGCAATACAGTCGAAACGTCGGGCCAAGAAAAACAACATTTTCGTTCGCGAGAAAATTTGCAAAGAATAATAATATTAAAAGCAACAATAAAAATGGTTAGTCAAAAAGATGATGTAACTGAGTGTCTACATAAATAAAAGACCAGTTCAGATACAATGTATAAAGTAACTACCAGACTTAAAAGTTGCCGAGTTATTTGCTCTTTAAAAGCTTTAATTATTATAACTGCATTTTATTTATAGGTAATGAGAGGATAAATCCCTTTATTTTCCATGCTTTTTAATATTTGATTGGAAGTATTCAACAATATTGTTTTAGAGCACATTTAATAACCTTAGTTGCAATAAAAAGTTCTTTATGGAGTTTTGAGATTCGTATATTAAAATAGCTGACAATGTTAGACATTTGCTTTGGATTTTTAATTCGTTATTTCTATTTGAAAGAGGTTTTATTTTTATGTGCATACGTATTGAAATTGTTATTGCATTTCTTGATGAAATCTAATATTTCCGGTAAGAGTTCAACTTAAGTTTTAAATATTTGCCAATTTTCTTTGCTGAAACAAGAACAGTTGCTGTAAAAATTATTGACACATTTTTGACCCAAATATCTGATGATCGCTTTAAAATCCGAGACGTACGTAACAAAATAATCGTTTACATTTGTAGTATGTAACGACTAACCAGAATAAAACAAACGATAAACAATCAGAAAATTGTTAAATAAGTAAGGAACGCTTGAGTAGAAAGTGCAATTTAAATTTGAGATATCAAGAGACTAATCATCATCATATAATCATCATATAATATCATCATCACATGTGACATACATATAAAACATACATGCATAGTGGCAACTTACTTTATATATTTTTAAAATTTATATTAATTTTATATTTTGATGTATTAGTATTATTTGATGTATAGTTTTGTTAAGTTTGGCGGTGTTGCTCAACAAACTCTTGCACTTCAATATATAAAATTCTGCAAAACATATGCAAAAACCCAATTGCCTCATAAAGTACGAACTTTTCATGGTATATTTTCATGCCAATTTCATATTAAAATAACGCTGGCTATATACTACCGACGTTTTGGTACTAACTGACTCCGTATATAAAAACATGTCTATAAAAGTTGTGGAATGCTTCAACTCCATGTTTTACGACTCAGAATATAACTTTTCTCTCATATAAACAAGGACCTGTAAGTGCTTAGTATTTCATATACACGGTATTAAGGTTATTTGAATAATAAAATAATTAATTTATGGCTTATCATTGCAATCCTTTCTTGTTTTACCTTTTCACTTTTGATGCCAGATTGAAAAAATATGTATATATTATAAATTATAAAATTACATGTTAGTTGTTACAAGAAAGTAAATTTTACTTTTTGCCAGCCAATGAGAAAGTTCGATCTGAGTAGATTTGAGTTTGAGTAAACCTATTTTACTTAAAAGTGATAAGGAACAAATTAAATCAACTGCTCAACAAAATGTGGCCTAATTGTGGAACTGGACAAATTCCGATTGCTGAGAGCGATTTGATTTCTGTTTGAAGCGTTATTTAGTGCAATTAATTTTCAGTTGGTGTCTGGTTTTGTAAAAAAGTGTCCACGGGGTGACAAATGAAACAATGCAAAATTGGTGAAAGTTCCGCGTGTTCTCAGTGACAGAAAAAAAAGATTTTTTGTCTTTGAAAATCGCAAGCATTAAGATGGACCTCGAACATCTTAAAATTTTTTTGAGTTTTTCGCTTATCTCGTTTATTTACAGAGTAATCTTTAAAAAAAATTGATCTTGTAGGGATCATTTTTCTTTTGGGCCCATTTTCAACATCTAGGTTGAATGTTGAAGCTAAAACCTCGTAGTGGACTTGAGAAAATATTAATTCAATATTCCCGGTTGCATGAACGAACGAAACTTTTGAAAGTACACTTCACTTAGTTGAAAATTATCCAGATTTACAGATTTCGGGGGCTATTCTGATTTGGGTAATCCTGCATATTAAATTTTCATCTTAAATTGTGTATAAAGCCAATAAGCTTGTTTTACCTTCAATATGAGCTCAAGATCGTGAAAATCGATCCAAGATTAGGCAAGTTATCGGTGCAAGATCAAAAAGTTGATATTTTTACCATTACTCCTTGTATATCGAAAATCAAGAAATTGTGCCCCTTTTTATATGAGAGTTATATTTTCCACCCCGTTCCAACAATGGAGCTGAAATCTTGCAATATCTGTTTAATAAATATTAAATGATGACACATGGACACATTCTTCAATATAATTGTTTTTTTTTGTTCATAGCTTGTTTTCTCAAACATTGTATTTGATGAGAGACAGTAAGGAAGTAAACGCACACCAAAAAGAATGATATTTAAGTATATACTAAACGAACAAAAGTTGAACTGACTGCACACATCCTTAATCAACAAGTTTCAAAGTGAATTAAATGAAATATGAATATCTGAGGGTTTATAAATGAATATCTAACAACCCACACATTATGTGCTATAAATAAAAAAAGTTCTTAAACAAATATTGGGCTGTTCATCCGCATGTATGTGGAATTACACGTAGCCAATAAATGTAACAATATTTTAGAGCCGGGTAATTTACGATAAAAATATCTCTAATTGGGAATATTGTACTTGAACCTACTAAAATAATTTCCCTAGTGTCCTAGCGTGGGTTGCTTCAAAGAACAAATGTTTTATTGGACATCAAAAAGAGTAACTGGATTAATTCTCCCTTCTCCTACGGGCCCCGTTATTAATAGCCTTCCAATGGGATTTTTTGTTTACATAGTAATAATTAAATCTTTAAGTAATCAGTGTCGCTTATTGGACGATTCGAGTTCGAAATCCGAATAAATTGCAAAGCCGTACATCCAATTAGCTTCCAAAAATAACTCACCAAAATTCACTCCAGTTGTACGGACCAATCAAATCTATTATTAGGCACCGTTTCTCATCGCCTTCTCTCTTCCAAAATAAATTATCAAGATTGCCCGCCTCACGCCAATAGCAGATCTATCAAGTTCTCCGATCCTCATTTTTTGTTTTTGTTTTAATACTCTAAAGTTTGTTATCAATTCACCACGGTTGCCTCGATTGATTCGGAATAGCGATGTTTGCCAGTCAAGTTTCTCGCAGCAGCCTGTTCCAGAATTGCGATTACGTAAAAGACGTCACTGTGCCAGGATGTCGCGTTTTTCTGTGCCGCTGTTACCGACTACAAGAACCCTGGCCTATTTCTGGATCCCCATTCTATCAATGCGCAGGCCAGGACGCAAGCCAGCGGCGTCTGGATATGGTGGTTTATACTTCTGGATACGGGCGAATGCTCGTCGTTAGGGACAAGTGATCAAGAAGGCGAAAATGCGCAAAAGTCTTCATCTATAATGAAAGTAACCTCTCTCTTAAATTACCCAAATGTCTCAAACTAGAGTTCTTTAGGAGTCAAAATAGAGTTCTTTGGAGCTCGAAGCATCTCTTCACGTATGGAAAACTGCGAATAACTAGAATGGGCTGGTCCGGTTGACAACATTCTGATAACTCTAGAAACCCTCAAGTTCAGCGCAAACAATTGTTAGAACTGGAGGCTTTTAATGCCGGATTAGACTATGCACTTTTCCCCGATTTTTTGGCCAATAAAGGCGCGTACGATTTATTGCGGATTGTAGGAAATTTTTGAATTGTTTGTTATTTGCTAGTTGTGCAATAACGATTATTGTCGAAGTAAAGTGACTAGAAATTAGGGATTAGGTTTTTTTTTATTGTGTTTCAGATGTTGAAAATCTGTGTTGTATGCAATAAGTTTAGCAAATTAATAAAGAAGATTAATCGTGTCTTTGGGAGCATCAGCAAATAATTTGGCTCTTAGCTCATGTGTTATGATTTACACATCTTTACCAACACAAACCAAAGTACTTATTGAAATTTATGTTGGTTTTACTGAAATTGCACTAATTTATTGTGACAACAATATCCAATGTAAAGTAGATGACCGCCACGAAAATGACCGAAATAATAATTCCACTTTATTGGCGAAATAAATCGGGGAAAAGTGTGTACGAATCAAATACCGGCATAAGAGTCCACATAGAAAAGCTATTATCATTAGAAATTAACAACACATGCTGGGACGTTCTATAAATCTCAGAAACGTAGTGAATCGATAACCGCTCGAAATCAAAACAATTATAGAATGTTTAATTTTACTCACAAGTTTAGCAAGCAAGAAATTTTGTTGCACTAATTCTGATTCTTATGAAATACTATTTAAGAAAATAACAGCTTGATCATTTCAATAGAGACTTAAAGTTTGAAAATGTATTTAAAGTATATGTAAAATTATTCAGCGCAAAAATATTCAACAGCATTTACTTAATTTAATTTAATTATATTTTGATCCACTGCCCACTAAGGAATAATCATAATTCCCTAAGGATTAATAAGCATAATTACGTCTAACTAGTCACATTCGGAATGAGACCGATATTAAACAATCAAGGATAAAGAATGAAATAATAGATTTTCGTTTGTTATTACATATGAACCTTTATAAAGTTTCTGAGCGCCGCTGTTACGATTTATAACTGCACCTATTGCATTTATATCGGGAAATGTCTAAGGGTTTTTGATAAATGAAAAGTGCCCCATAAAGTATCTCGAAAAGGGCATAAATATTTAGGATGAGAAGAACGATGGCGTGTAAGTAGCAACATTTTCTCAACGAGAATGCCAATGAACTTCTGATATTCGTTTTATATAATCGCAAGATAAAGTTATGGTATTTTAAATTTGCATAAAATGTAACATTAAGTATAACGTAAAAAAACTATTGCAGGTTTTGCTTTTTTGTATTTTCTTATTGTCGACTTCTAAATGTTTCACATTTGGCGATTATTTGCTGACCGAAAAGCTCCCATCCGATGAACTTATTAGACCTAAACAATCCAATGTGTTTATAATACATTTTTTTAAATATTTTTATTATAAATTATCTATCAGTACGTGATTTTTTTTCAAATCACGCAATTAAATTTTATTATAGCAAAACTAATTATTGTTATACGAAATATGAAATTAACTGCAATTTTAAAGACACATAGAATGAAACTACGAATAATTCGCTGACTCCAAAAAATGTGTGCAATGGTAGAAAAAAATTCAATATAAATACAGTTTAATGACAGAAATATTTTTACGTAAAATTATAAGTATCAAGTAAAATTTACAGTTTTTTAAATTGAATTGAAAGCCGTTTTGTAATAGTATGATACTGATTTATAAAAGAAAAACAAAAAGCAAACAATGTGTGTAATATAATTAATAAAGGAATATTTTCTTATGTTCAGCAAAGCGTATGATTGATTTGAAAAACTAATGAAATATTCGAATATTGGAATACAAATTTTTAGATGAAATCATTAACAATTTTTTTTGTTTTTTTGTGAGTTTAATTTTTTTATGTGGCATCTGAGAGTTTAAAATCTCTAAGAACCAATAGAGTTTTTAGCAATATAATAAATATTTGGCAAATGGTGCCAAGCAAACATAGTGTGAGACAGAGTGTCGAATTTTGAACATTTAAGTCAAATAAAAAAATTGGTTATTCTTAAATATTGATCCAATGGAATTCCAATCGATCAGGATAAATGTATATTGAGATATGAGCTTTTTCCGTATTTTTCACGTTTAATTATTCAAGTATTGAATTTCATAAAAGAATTTGATTTTTTCACAAAAAAATGTTTCTACTAATATTAAGAATTTTTCGTCAGAATTAAACAAAAATTTTATAAGAGCCTGTTGAAGAAACTAACTGAAAAGAAAATGTTTAAAGTCAATATAGAAAACGATTGATATAAACTGCTCAAGAAAATCAGAGTTACACTGATAAATTTCCACCAAGTTTGGAGCGGGATAAATTTTAATTGCTGCAAACGAGTCTATTTCTTTTTTACGTTACGTTATTTTGTACAATTAATTCTTGGTTAGTGCATGTTTTCCGCATCATTTAAAAATATGGGAATGAGTGAGCGTGGTTCAACCAAACTTCACTTACCTTACAGAACTTAGGTAAGTTTCTCTCTCTTTAAGTAAAAGTGTATGAAAAATATGAAGGCATTTTAAACACTAAATTATTTTATAGTTGTGAATAAACAGTGGCCAATAGATAACGCTTCAAATATATCCGCGTGAAAAACACAATCTAAAAATATAATAATTAGAAATATTATTTGTACACCCAGTACGCGTACACGACAACGTGTAGTTTTACTAGGCTAATGATGTATATGAATTATTTATATTTAACATGTTTTATATAAATAATTACATTTTAAATTTAATTGAAATTCTTTAAATTTAAAATGTTCTACGCACTTTTAGGGTATTGCTTCAAAAAACGGAAGCATCATTTAGCCAGAAAATGGAAAATATATAAAATACATTAAAACTATATGAAGATCCATTTTCAGAACATTTGCATATGCTCATATAAATAAAAATCTGTAGCTAAATTAAAATTGAAAACATTGCTCATGGCTGAAATGCCGTGAAGTTTTATTAAAATGACCTAAATAGTGTTTAAGTGACTAAATTTGAAATTGATAGCACATTCAAGTTAGCAGCACCTTCTTGTATAAGTCCCCTCTTTGTATCGTTAAGTGTGACATTCTAAAATATGCAGGTTTGCAAGCTTTTAATGGCTTTCCAGTGAGTTATTTTTTATTTTCTCGGTTAAAATGTTCGATATCCTGATGCGGGAATGCTATTAATATTAGGAACATGTATGAGAAACAAAGTATTAATTTATTTTATTAAATATATAGCAATCAAACATACAAACAAAAATTTATTGGGGACTCAAAAAGAAAAATAAACACAACAAATTTTTCAAAATTATTTGATCACTGAAACACCTTAACTAAGTTTTGATGAGTCTAATTGCGGATCTGCAAATGCAAATTAATAAGCGACCCTGTTTCATTTGCCCGGAAAAAACTGCCAGCACAAGTAAAAATCTGAAAAACAAGTTTTGGGAAAACTTTCAAGTAGATGCCTCAAAAGTTAAGTTATTCGGTAGCCAACCGAATGAAGAGTCTCCAGTTGACTTTAGAGCTACGGACCTTATTTATATTGTCTTCATTACCGTGAAGTTCAAGCTGACCTTTTCTGTCCAATCAATTCGAACTTTACCCTGAACCGAACTAATTTTCCATTGGATTGAGTTCCTGCTCTCTTTTATTAATCGCTTGAATGCTTTGGCGAGGTTTCGTTTGATCGTATATTTTATTGGCGTTTGTTTATTAATTCCACAAAGAGCCAGCAATCTCAAAATTAATATTAGATAGCCGTTTCAGAGCATAATTTCCTAAAACTTTACGCAAAAAATTAATCGAACTTTAATAATATCTGAACTTATAGAATATATATGTATATAGAGATTAAAATGTGTTTTGTTGCCGTCGAAAATGACGAAAAAATCCTTCTAAGAAAAATGCAGTCATTCAAACTCAGTTTTATTGTTTTATTGCGTTCCCCATTAGGCTATTGCCACAGTAACAATAACCAGGCTATATGAAACTACACCAGCTTTAGTTGTAAAATATTATATTTAATTTGTTACTTACAACTAATAATCGTCAGAGTTGAAAACTTAAAATTACCGAACACAATAACAATAACGTTCACTGTGTAGTCATTGGCTTTACAACGTGTGATACCGACTAAGTTTACAAGGAAATTTGATACGGGAATTGTAAAATAACACTAGTTTGCTTCTTTCACTTATGATAAAGAACTTACTGCCCACTAATATTAGTATAAGTAAATATATGTAATGCTATATACAGGGCTGGCTTGTTGTACGGAAATTAACAACATTTTTTTAAATTTCCATGACACTCAAATAAAATTGTTTGCAAAAGTGTAAAAAATCTATTTTCTACCGGCACTGACTCCACATGCACATGACTCTCCTACTTTCTAAATCTAATGACTATAATCACACAAACATGGAAATACGTATACCATATTAAACTAATACTATTCTTGTAATAATTTTGTTTAAATAAATTAATTTTTACTTTGTTCAATAGCGTAACAAATTCAAATTCTTCCAGGAAACCATTATCGATCGCACAAAATTCATTTAGTAAAACAACCTGTTAAACCTCTACCAATGATTCTAGGCAAGAAACATCGCACGCAACCACATTCAGCCACTTTCAACAAATTTCTACATTGTACGTTTTATTGCTATCTTTGGATAAATCTTATGGTTGAACTTCGCAGACAAAGTACGTTTCAAACGAGCAAGGCGAATCGTTCCATTTCAGCCCTTTTCCATCTCGGTTCCAGAGTTCCAGGCAATTCTCCTGTTCCCCATTCTCGTACTCGAAGTTGTTGGGTTCCCCTGCATTCCAATTCGTGAAGGTGATTGGTCGGCCTGTTGACATCCAGAAGAAATTTCCTTCTTCTGCGAGATCGGTACCAGAGGTCCAGAAATGTTCGTTTCCAAATCCTGTAACAATTCAACATGATGTTTTTTGTTGTTTCCAAATATCGTTCTTAGATGTTTAAGAGTTGGAGATTATTATAGAAATATCCAAGACAAGTAGGCAAGATTTTTACATATCGTCTTTCATTATTAATCCATGGATAACCGCTACAAACAATCACATGCAAACATGTGAAAACAAAAATAAATTTATAAAACTCCATTGCTAAATTGAGTAAAATCAATTTTTCGTAATTGTGTTACTAATCTTAGAAAGGATATTTCGTGCAAAAGTAGTAGCCGCTCAAATTTACTTTCCTTTAGAAGAATTTCGTCGAAGAATACAGAAATGCTGAGACTCACGTGAAGTTCGAAAAGTACAATATTTCTAAATAAATTGGTTCACTTTCTAATGGATGTTCTAGGCCGACTAGGTGTTAATCATTCATGTTTACTTTAAAGTGTATTTCAGCTATTGATGCGGAGATAACTTATTATTTTGGATAAAAAATTGATGTCATTTGTAGGTATTGTAGATTTTGAATTTATTGATTTTCACTGGATTGATTTCATTGGACTTTTATTGATTTTCACTGGATGTGTTTGTTGTATGGAAGCTTTGTTTTTCGTAGTATACTTTTTCCTTTATCCGTTATCTTGTTTGATATTAATATTTAATTATAAGGCAAATAATAATACAATTGAAGAATACTATCTATTTATTAGGCGGATATCTAGATCTCTTAGTAAAGTTACTTCATAAAAATAAAGCTCTGAAGATGCAAGCTATTCGTGCTTGCAAAACGTCACTAAGAAATTCTTCTTCACCACTGCCAAATATCCCCAAAAACCGGTTACATAAGTTTATAAAATTATCAATCCAACTAATAAAACAGTGTTCAATTGAAGTAACATTGTTTGAAACTACTGAAGTTTTCGATTTTGGAATATAAAATATCCAGGTGTATGCGTCAAAAAAATATTGTTTTTTTTACAAAACATCTACTGAATAATTTTTGAATTTCGTATTTTCTTTTCGGATTTTCTCGATTTTGAAAGTCAATTTTATCTTACTTTGAAAGGCAATCAAAAACAGTTGCTTTATACAAATACTTAAGTTATATTAACAAATATAATATAATGTATGATTCAACGATGCTGACTCAAACAATTTTTTTTCAAAAATTGACTACAGTCATTACAGACTACGACCTTAATTTGAAAAATTACTTGAAATTTTCGTATTACTAAATTGATTATTTGCTCTCTAATTATTACAAGAATTTTGAAATTCAATATTGCAAGTATATTTGGCATTGAAATGTTTCCAGTTTTCGCAGGACATTTTTACTTGCATATTTAAGTTTATATGTAGATGATCTTAAACTGAGTAATTTGTAAATCTTATAAATTGCTTTTTTTGCTTTGATCTATCCTAATTTTATTATTTTCGTTTCATCAATCCCATCAAATTATTTAATATTTATTTAATTCATACTAACGCTCAATTGAGGACAAGGTATCCTGCAATTTGAGGAAGTAAAATATTGAGCCAATTATCACCTCCCATCTCTAAATAAAAACCTTGCGCTTTTCGTGTAAAATTCGCCTAAACGCTGTTTTAAAAACATGTTTTTGGTTAATCAGCTGCGTTTTCTTCTCTTAGTTAGTATTTCGTTGACTCTAATTTATTTAATTTCTAGGAAATACTAATATCCTTCAAACTTAAAAAACTTGAAAAGTCGCAAAATTTACGTCCAATACTGGACAAAGCACAACACAATTTTTCATCCGCGTTTATTCCCACAAAGATATTGTATTTACTTTTACAATAATCCCTATTTGTCAGTTTCAAATGAAACAATTCCATTCAAATGCCATGTTCTATTCAACTCATTAATGCTGTTCTTTTAAAAAAAATACATAGTAAACAGCAGCGCGAATACGCTTTTTTCATTTGATTGGACTAATTGCTTTTTGCAATAAGCCTGCTCAAGCATGAATGGACGATCGGACTGTCTACATACATGTAAGCATTGTTCGTTATCCACATCAGATTTGTATTGATTGAAAAGCAATTCCTGCCATCTGTTTGGTGGTAAATGCATTTTTTGCGCTAATAGAAAACACCTTGTAAACATGCTGCTAATCGGATGATGATTGCTAAATGTTAATGATTTTCTGTTAGCCTGTTGAAGGCATAATTGCGAATATTCTCAAATGTAGGTCCGAATAGAAGTTCATACACACTGATATTGTGGAATGTATCCCAATGCGTGATCATTAAAACAAAATATGTGAAGGTTTTTCTAAGTCAATTCATTTATTCTCAGCTGAACATGTTTCAAGACCAATTACGTATTGTTTCACCGGAAACAGAAATCATTTTCAATAAGTGTTACAAAATGTTGTTCTGTGCAAATGACGCAAGGTAAGGAACTTTTAACATCCTAAAATCCATTCTTCACTTTATGAATCTAATCGACGAGCAAAAAACGTGTCAGGGTCACAATTGAACCTGTTCAAATTAACGAATTGCAGGTAAAAAGAATTTCCTAATAACCAATCTTCCGATTTTGTATTGGAATCTTGCAGAAACCGAAAAAAGATTGCTGATGTTGAAATACTACGATGAACATTAAACTGCATTTTAAATGTTAATGCAGTTTTAATTTTACAAACAAAAAATGCATCCATACTTATTATCGGTATGCGGATTTTAAATATGTAATTTTCCAATTAGCAGTCTACGTTTGGTATGAAGGGAATAATGAAATATTCATGTAAAATTTGAATAATGAAAGAATCGCTTAATAGGTACAACTGCTACGCTCCATTGATTGTAGTAATTCGTTATGTTTACCGCAAAATTATGATTATTAATTTTGATCATAGAAATTTATCGTTTCCACATTTCAAAAGAGAATGTAATCGTAAATATATCAATAAATTAGAAGTAATTAGTCAAATGACTAACAGGCTTTGCTTAATAAATTACAGATAAAAGCCTTTATTAATTAGTGCTGGATATGAGAAAAGATGCAACTTTCAAAACGATAACCCTTATTTCAGGAGACTTATATGTATTTGTTTGCATAATTGTGTATGTATTGAAAATGTAAAAAATAGTTTTTGAAAATTTTTGGGTTTCTACTTAGTTTTGAATGGGTAGTTTTGCGCACATTTCTTTACACAAACATATTGTTTTAGACCAAGGAATGGAAGGTAAAATTTAAAACATTGTTGTTTATAACGAAAATTTACAATTCAACAAAAAGTTGGCTCGGGTTTATGTTTTCAATTTATATCTTAAATTAGTTAAAACATAAATATTTAAATATAGATATTTGCAAAAATTATTCTTAAGTGTTTATAGCTTCGTCTTTGTACCCCGCTTTCATACGTACCTTTAAGAAAACTCGATAATTTCGAGGATCAAATTCACGGTCAAAGAAAACAATTAAGTTTCCCAAGCAATGGGAAATGTTTCTTACCAAAGTCTTTGATGTACTTTTCTAGCTTATCATTTTCTTCTTGTGATGTTATACTGGCAAGGTGCATTCCATGAAATCTGCAATACTGAGTGGCCCGGAAATAATTTGCCTGAAACAAATTGTAATCAATTAACAAAGAGTAGTAGTAGGAGAAGAAAATAATAATTAAATAACTTATCGACGTGTTTTTCAACGCTGTAATGTTCAATAAACTTGTTGATTCTGATAAGTGATACAATTTGTATTTAAGAGGCGCTTTTTGACTGGTCAATACTGAAATGAATGATGACCCAACACGTTACCATTCTTGATAATGTTATGTTAATAGGGCTGCTCTTGCCATATTGAATTCGGTCATAATCATGTAATCAAATTAAATGTTGAGAGAAAGTTGCATTAATCAATTTGTAAACAAGACAATCAAGAATTTGGTATAAGAGAGACTAACTACATTATAATTTTTGGGTTTAGCAAATTATCGGCAGCTTACAGACGTGACACCTTTAAGTGGATTAATTTCGTTGAGTAATCAGAATTCAGGTCAGATTTCTTAATATGCAAATATTAAACGGGAATTCCGCTCAATTTATACATATTTTTAACATCTCCTGCCGGCTGCATTTTTCAATTAAGATTGCAATAACAAATAGAAAATATTTTAAAGCAAAACTCGTGGGTTTTTCTGGAGTTTCCACGACGACTTAAAAGCCCGAAGAACTCACCAGTTTGAAGCAATCTCCCTATCAAGAAGTACTTTCAAATCAAAACGTAATTAAATAAATTAATGTACCTACAAGAAGTTCTTTATTGCTTCAATTAAGAAGAAAATTTATAAATGTTTTTTTAAGCCAAGAGCCAAGCTGCATAATTGAAAGCTAAAGAGTCAATTTAAAGTATGTTATTAATCAAAACGATTGGTAAACTCCAGATCGCCTTGACATTCGCGTTCCTGGCCAAAACCATGAAAAGTGTTCCGGTTCTTGTTATCCGAAATATATCTAGCACAGTGATAAATACTTTGCTAAGCAAAACATGAATAGCAGAGGTTTAGTTTGACTATCAGATTTCACCTCAATGGACAATGATGCAATATAAGCATCTTAAAACAGGATTAAAGATCTTGAATCAAATAGCCTTTTTGTTTTGAAGAATCCTAGAGGGTTGATTAGTTTTAAATAAGGGTTTCACAAAAATAAGTGTACACTGTTTTCCTAATAGTTCTTGTCATTTGTTAATCAATAATTTCATTTGGTGCTTTTTGTAATAGGTTTAATTCATATTTACATTTTTTTTCTTGAATTTTTACATATTTGTTTTTTGCACAATTCAGTGTTAAGGCAGAGAGCAGAATTAAATTATTATATATTTTTCATTTTCCATTGAATACTACGAAGATTTCGCAAGAGAAATACATATTTCCTATGCGAAACAGTATTGTACATTTCAATTGACTTTTAAGTAGTGTAGGTGATTCACAATGTTATAAATGTTGGTTTTCTTCAGAATTAGTGGGCATAAGCATGCCTTAAGAATTAGTGGGCTTGATATTTGGACATGGTCAAATTACTAGACGAATGAATTGAAGTGAATTCAAATGACCTTTAACAGAAGTATAACTCAAGTCAAGTTTGCAGAAATGCAAATATTTCCTGAAACTTTACGAAAATATCCGTTGTCTGTACCAGTAACAAAAAACCGCAAAACATATTTTGAGCAACAAACATCTGTTTGGGTTAGTAGAAGATTAAACCCCCAACAAAGGTTTAATGAAAAAATCACTGAGCAGTTTTTCCTTACTGGGTCATATATGAAATCACTTTAATTGATATTGATGCGAAATGGGAAAACCCAAACAGAGAAAATATATTACAAATAAAATGGGTTTAATTTTTATATTGATGATTTTAATTGTGTTTTGAGCACCAAATACGGTCCAACATCCGGAAAAGACGAGCTTCAAACTTTTAAATTTAATCATGCGATTTATTTACAGCAAAATAATTTGGCTTTTAATATGAAATCAGTTTATGAATAGCTGAAAAGACTTAAGTTACAGTTTCGGTTCCTAAATACCGAAAGGAAATCTAATTAAATTTTTCTAAATTATCACGTAACAAAAAAAGAAAGTTTTAAATCTTTTATTGAAGTAAAGATGTGATCATTTTTATTAAAAATCCACAAAATTGCAAAAATATTAGGATTCTAATTTGTTAAATATTTTCGTTAAAGACTTAGAGGATTGAAATAAAACAATAGAAACCATTCAATAGGTAGAAAGGATGCGATCGCATTAAATCATGACAAATGATATATAATATCTTACATATTATCGGATTTTTCAAACAAGCGAGGATGATGCTCAGTTTATACCAGAAACACTTCAGTAATCGATAGAAAAATTCTCTTGAATCTTAAAGATATTTTTACTTCCAATAAACTTAGTTTCGTACCGTTTTATTATCAGCAGCGAGGCAGATTCAGAGGCACAAAAAATGTGATTATGTATATATCGATTACTGTTTGTACTCTAATCTTTAACTGGCTCTTATAGTCATTCATTAACAAACTTCCTCTATTCATTTTAATTTATCTTCTTTTGGTATTCGCCTCTGTCCGCTGATTGTTCAATTCCCTTTTTTAATGCCTCTTCTGATAATAAAAACTTCAACTGCTACTTGCTTAAAATGTGTCAAAGCAATTGATGATAATTACGGTTTTGTTGGCTAAAGAAGAAGAGACAGATATTTAGAATAAGATTTATTTTAAATTAACATGAATTAAAAAAGTGAAAATAGATCAACTTGACAACTCTATGAATAAACCTAGAATTTCTTGAAGGTGCATAACGGGAAAATTAAATCTATCTCAGGTAATAAATCTGGGAAAAGTGAAAAAATAATTGTTGCTTAACATAAGTCATAGAATTCATATACATACGTTGAAGTATTTTGGATACCTAGGGGGACACCTTGCATAACAATTTTGTTAGTCGCGCCAACTCCTGATATTATTATTATTATTATTATTATAACACGGTATTAACAACATACTTTGCAGTCTTTCATTGATCGATAAACTAAGCTCCCGAATCGAACTTAATAACGTCGAATGGACTACAAACAACAATGTGTTTCAATTATCGATAAATACGGATTTATCCATGACACTGACCACGACATAAATTTAATCATAGGCTGGGCACCTATAAGTCTTTATAAAAGGTCAACTTCTTCTTTTCAATAAGAAATCGCACATACAGACACTTGCTCTTTGCTTACACCAAAAATTTACATTTCCGCATTGTTAAACGTGTAAAAATTCAGATTTAAACATTCGTTTTGCTGAAGTGAAACGTTCTGAAAAACCAATTTAAAAACCACGAAGAAACTAAGCTGCGTCTGATTGCTTAAACTAGCAATATCAGCTGCATTTAACTAGAATATCTGCATACATAAATCTAATTAAATCGAATATCGCATAATCAACACAGTAACTACAATAATATCATACACTTTGAAAGAATGCAGACCTCAATTAACACTCCTAGAAAATTAAGAATAAAAATGCGGCTTTATGATTTTATTATTGATGCACCTTGGTATTTGATTTTTTATTTGATAAAGTAATTCTACTTTCATGTCTATAGATTAATGCAGGGGTAATATTTTGTAACAATCGCACAGCAAGCAAATGTTACGAGTCAAATAAGAGAATTAATGTGAAAATCATGATTTATTCACGATATAAAACTTGAATAATAGTTTGTTTGAGTTTTATGAGAGAAAAGCGTGAATGTTTTATGAAGTAAAATGCGCAATTTAGTTCCAATCAATTAGTGTACTTTCATTTACCTTAAAAAAGATTCCCAAATAATATCGCTTCTCACCAAGCTTTAGTAGAGGCATCGTCCATCTATTCATCGTTGGTAACGTGTCTTCTATGCAGTTAGGACAATCTGAAATTAGACGAAATTAATCTTAAAAAATTAGCTCAAAATTGTCGTTTTGCAATAAAAAGCGTATTTCATTGTTGTACGATCAAATTGCCAATAAAAAAATGGATTACATCGGCTGGTAACTTATGCATAGTAGTAGGATAATGTGTAAATATATAAAAGACAACTTATAACCTAAGTTAATAAAGGTTTTCTAAATCACCATTTGCTATGCATGAATATGCACCCAAATTTAACGTTTTTGAACTTTGATAGCCTTATTGTTAACATAATTTTCCGCTTTAAATTTTCCACGTACTGAGAGCACATTGTATGAACACAATGCCCGACTTTTCCATTATCGTATGGAGCGGTATTTTTCATAAGAATCCTAGTAAAATATATTTAACAACTTTATTGTGCAGAGTTCATACAACCTAAAGATCTAGTAAAGATTTAAAAAAATGTCAACTTATATTTTCTTTGGCTTTTACTTTACAGAATATTTTATGATGAGGAATAGTTATTTTAACATTACGCCTTGAACGAGTACCTCACGAGAAACTAGAAAAAGGTTGTCGCTTTTCAATAAAAACAAGTGAACGTTGAGACGTTTATCCTACAAAGGCTTCGTCTGCAAGTTTACAAGAATTCAAAATTACATCGCGTCAAGTTGTAGACGCGTGTACAAGTGTGAATTTTTAAGTACCCACATGTACCTTTGAACCGCATTTCCAGTTAACTGAAATTTAAAAAAATTTTAGAAAAATTTCATGTGCTCGATATGGAACGGAATTTCGTGCGCTTATCCACAAAAGCTGTTTTATAAGTGATCAGGAGTTTACAATTGCTAGGGTGTAGGGACTGTAATCTTTTTGGATCACTGATGCGGATACCCAATTTTATTTCCTTATTTTAACTAAATGAATGTCTGAAAATCACAATTTTCAGCCACAGTGGCAAAATCAACAAAAGATCGCAATCAATTGAAATTTCGTACACTTATCAACATAAACCCACTCTGTAAATTTTCCAAAGTTAAATCGCCCCGAGTTAAGGACTTGGGATTTTTCAAATACCGACCTGCACTTTGGATCATATTTCTGACTAAGTGAAAGTTAAAAAATGTCTAGTAAATCAGCGATTGAACCGAATCAAATGAAATATTGCCTACTTATCAATACAGGCTTCTTCTATATTATAAGTGTCTAAAAGTTTACATTTGTATTGTTTCCAGTTTACGTGCTGTAATTTTTTCAACACAGAGGTACACTTTTGGATCATATTTATCACGAAACTGAGAGTTGACATCTTTTAGACAATCAACAAGTGGCCCGGATAAAATGGAATGTAGTATACTGAGTTCGTTTTCGTTCTTATAAGTGTGTAAAAGTTCACAATTCAAGTGCTTTCAATTTAGAACCTGTAGTTTTTTAATTGAGATATGTCGTTTTGGATCAAATTTGTGACTAACTAAAAGTTGCACAGTTTTTAGAAAGTCAACTAGTGCTCGGAATAAAATTAATTTCGTATGCTAATACGCAAAAGTTTCTGTTATAAGTTTTCACAATTTCGAAGTTCCGACGACTCTATTTTAGGGGCAGTGATTTTTTAAATCGAGACTTTTAGGCAACATTTTTGGCCAATTGAAAGTTGTATATTTTCTGGAAAATCATAGGAATGTCGAAATATTTTATGAAACTTCTGTCAAATGTCTTTCTTCTCTTTCTTTCGTGTCTCTTCTATGAGTGTCCAATAGTTTACGCTTCTATCTATCGAGTTTTATAGCCTGGATTTTTTATGTACGGACATGTACTTTTGGAGCATATTTCTGACTAAGTGAATGTTAAAACATTTCTAGAAAATTATCAAATAATCCAATTTAAATGCAATTGTGCGTACTTATCAAGAACGATTTCTCCTATACGCGTCTAAAAGTGCGCAACTATGTCGTATCCAGTTTATAAACTGCAATTTTTTAATACACGTACAATATTTGGATCATATTTATCACTCAGTTAATAAGAAATAGTGATCGGTTTTCTAGAAAATGAACAAGTAGTAGTAGAACTAGTATTATCAGAAAAGCGCCCGAAAGTTCACAATTCCACTGTTTCCAGTTTAAAAACTGTGATTTTTTTAAATTTAGATTTCCTCTAAAATCAACGAATGACCGGTTTTGTATGTCGAACACAACATAATATTTCGAAATATCGTTTAAATTAGCAAAACGCCATATCATCGGTCATAGGAAACTCACTTCACGCAAGGCAATAAAAATGAAGCAACTGGTAATCCGAGTGTGTATCACTATCTTGATAGCATTGTTTCTCCTTTTTAATTATTTTGGTTACGCCCTAATTTTCAGGTGAGCTTTAGTCCATGTTTGCCTTTCAGCAACCGGTAAATTGAGAAAGCTGCTTTTTTACAGCCTTCGTGTATTTTATTTGAGTTACTTTACCATACAAAAAGATACTTGCAAGTAATTATGTTTGGGTATATTGTTGCTTTTTGCTAGTGTTAATTGGCTGTTTATGCGAATTTATTGAATTATTAATTGTAGCCAAATGTGTTTGTAATTTGCCAAGCTTAATTAAAAATTAGTCGACTGCAAAGAGTTGATTCTATGCGAAATTGAAATTAGACCAGCTGACCTTTCATGTACATACCGAAAGTTATTGGCGCTTTGAAAGCTGTTTCAAAATCGACTATTTACCGAATTTTTCATATTGCTAGGTGATGAAATTAGTATGAAGGGAGTGGAAAAATAGAAAGCACAAATAATATGTTTGCTGGTATAATACATAAACCACTCAATTACAGCATTCTTAGTAAGTATGCTAAGGAAATGAAGGAAAAACCTCCTACTATGTCAGTAATTTCTTACTTGTTTTGCACATCTTTAAAAGGAAAATCAATATGTACCAAAGACTAGTTCTATCAATATGCAATACATTACGCACCCATGTTGATACAAGAAATTGGTTTCTCAACTTAAGGTGACAGAGTAAACTTTATGACGAAAGCCCATAAAATGTATCATCGATTATTTTCCGTTTTGTTCGACATTTTAATCTAATAATATTAATGATCATATTTTGAACAAAATTCAAGTTCATTGGAGTTTAGAATTTGATTACTATCAACTAGTGGGGTTTACTTGATAGTAGTTCGATAGAAATCTACTGATGAAAATATTTCAATTGGAGGGTCCGGATATTGTAATAAATGAAGCGGTTACGTTATCGTATTCAATTAGACTTTCATCTCACACATTGAAACGTCTGCAGGAAATTTACTTTCAACTTATATGCCGACCATCAGTTTCAGCTTGAATAATTCGATTTATTACGGATGTAAAGTGAAATTAATATAAATTTATAAGTACATTTCAATAAATCACTGCAAGTAATATGAGAAATGCCTTCAGGATTGCTGTTTGGATTTCCTGGATCAATAAGTTTAATGTTGAAATTTGAGATTTTTATATGGTTAACAAAAACGAGCGAAATTGTAGATTAGGAATACTGCGTTAATTTACTTAAAGGTTAAAAAATAGATCAATCTACAAGACAACTCGGAACTATATCTAATAATTTGCCGTTACTCGCTCCACCAGTAACATTTTTATATAGGTAAATGTAAAAATATAAAATAAAAATATAAAAATATATTCAAATATCTCAAGTTTTCATTAAGTGCAAACTCCTTAAATATTCTGCACAAATGTTTGTTTACAGCAGAACATAGCTAGTTTTAACGGTATTATTCAGGGTGAATCAGTTTGTAGAAGCAAAAATTTCCGAATTGATTGAAAAACGTTATTTTGAAGCAAAACGTTTTTAAATTTATTTTGATAATGGTACCGTTTATAAGATAGAGAGAGGATAGGAGAGGATTTCCACTTCTTATATTTATTTAGATTCAAATTGAGAGTTCAAAGTGGTAAATGCCTAGGAGGTTTCACAAAGCTAAATGTATCAAAAGATGTTTAGTTTTGTAAGTATACGTTGTTATGTTTTTTAAAGTATCAATTTTTTATTTATTTTATTTTATTTTGCTCTAAGGCGATGTAGGGTGAATTTAAGTGAAATATTTACACTTTATTAAAATGGATGTTTTAACTTTTTTAAATATGCTTTGTATAAAAAGTATAAGTAGTAAGTACCTTTAAGTAGTAACAGGAAACTATGATGCCAATTTTTGTTTCTAAATACTAAGCTGGTGGTTTTCAATTATTAATCTGATAAATTCATTATTACTGAAAATATAGTCCCTTCCTGGTATCCCAAAAGTTAAAGTATTTTCTTCTTATAATTGTGTAATACTTTGGTGTTTTCGATCGATTCATAAAAGGCTGCTGCCTTAAATAACCCACCCTGTATTATAACTTTAAATTTGAAAAGTTTACTAAATTTTCATCATTTAAATAAATGAATTTTCTTGAATTGCATCTAAACTGCAAATTGATTTTGTATTATTTACTTAAACTAGTGATAAGTAGGTTACAACAGCTAAAGGGGTTTTAAAATATTAATTTTACGCGACTTTCCTTATAATTAGTATACAAACAAGTCAAATTACTGACCATTAAGGAAACCTGACATTAACACAAATGTATTCAAAAGTAATTTATGACATGTCAAAAACAAATGTTAAGGATGATTTCTATTTAATTAGTATTCAACTGCTAATTGTCGATAATGAAAAAATAAATAAACTTTTATTTAAAGTTTCGAAGCAGTAACATGCAGGGTTTGGCAATTTTTGTTCTACATTTAATTTTTAAAAATTCTCAGTTTTCTGTTTCCATTCCTCAAACTTTAGTGGCCTCTTTTCAACGCATTTCAATATAGATTTTAGACATGGTTCCAAACGTGTTTGAAGAAGTAAGAAATAGAAATAATAATTCTCAGAGTTGAGTAATTTCCGGATCGATCCTTAACGATCATGCAATTTCCAAGTTAAAAACTTATTTTCTAGCTAATTTTCAGTGAAAACAACGACTTTTAAAACTCTTG